CTCGCGTTCACCCGAACGCGCGACGTCTTATGGTAACAAATCACGAACGCGACGGAGCACAAAAGACGCCGCGCAGTCTCTTCCGTATCTCAGCCCGACGAGACTGTCGAGCGAACCGACAAATATTATCGGGGAGCTCTCGAAGAAAACTCTCCAGATATTCCATACACTCATACATACATGCACACACATACACTCCCTATATATATTGCGTCGGGTGCTCCTGGGTCGCGCCAGGTCCAATTGCAGCTGTATATAACGTAAACGAGCGATCGTTACATGTACGTAAGGGGAAAGGAGAGAGAAAGGGGTCACACTCGTTGGATAATGGTTTCATGAAAGAATCCGCGAAACGTCGTCCGTCCAGTTTCTACGAAAACGCGGTGGAACGGAACGGATCTGGATGGGAGAACGAGAGAGAGAGCTCGCCTCTCTTCTGCCGATCGCCAATACCATCAGAAGCAATAACGATACTCCCGCTACTTCATCGAAAGAATTTCTGATATCTCGTCCATAACGTAGATTGTTCTGACGATACCGCGCGCGCGGGCGCGCGCCCGTACTTTCGTTGTAATATAAGTTGCGGGTAACGCGCGCGCGGAGGATTCAATTTTAGAAATTAATGGGAAGGATAATTTAAAGTAAACTCGTGATGTATAGACGATCGCGGGGGACCGCGCAAACGGGTCGCATCGATCATAACAACGCGGTAATTGCTTCAGGCCCTCGCGGGCCAAATGTTTCCCGCCGAGTTGCCGATTGTTCTTGAAATATTCAACGGGAGGCTGCCGGGACTTGCGAATATAAAGTTTTCGGTGAATCGATTTCTCCTCTTCGACGGAGAAAAGAGACAAAGAGGCAAGAATTTTTCCAAGAAATTTTACAGGTTGGTTCATCAAAATCGCGAATTAATATTCCGCGAACGTGAATTTCGTCTCAGGTGTGATATTTGCCAAGAGAGAAAGAGTGAGAGAGAAAGAGAGAGAAAGTGTGTGTTGAACTGCTCTCGTGCGAGCGCTTTATACACGTACTGAATTTTCATAGTCTTCGTTCCGACGCGGTAATCTCATCCACCGGGCGCTTTTTAGTGGAGCCCGAGACTCTGTCGTTCGTAAGTAATTAAACTATATAATGAAACTCGAGATCGCGTCGTTAAAGATACGGTTTTCAAGCTGTAATGTGTAATGACGACTGACAGGACGATAAAGAAGAGCTAACGCAACTTTCGCGCGCAACCTCCAATTGCACAATTTATTTAAAAAAAAAATAAAAAAAGAACCTACAGATCACGTTTTACATTGCTTTTACCTCTGTGTGTGTGTGTGTGTGTGTGCTGGCAAGATAATTTTTGGCTGCAATTAAACTTCATATTGGGAATTCTTTTTTTCTCAATTTTTCTAAAACTGTTAAGTGGATAAAAACTTGTTCGCGATGGTGAAAAATTAAATTAGCGAAATTAAAAAACAAAATTATCACAAAAATGATCAGAAAGTTCAGAAATGTAATTTAGGATCGTGGTAGAGAAGTCAAAAATTTTGACACACAACAAAATTCTACGTTTTGAAATTCGCGGAAACGAGTTCTCTCGCGCGCGCGCGAGAGAGAGAGAGAGAGAGATCCGCGCGCGTTTTCTTCGCGAAAATGAAGAGTTAATGGCACTTGCGTGAAACAACAATAAGCACACGTTGAAGAAGTTAACTTCGGAAAGGGTAAACAATCTGAAAAAGGATATAACCTCGGTGGTGTGTATAGGTGTGTGTGTGCGGGTCTCTCGCGACAACGACGAAGGACGACGACGACGACGACGCGCGGCTTGCTCGCGATAGGCCGCCAACTTTAAATTACGCCGTTGAAACTTTCATCGCGTTTCTCGACAAGACAGATAACCCAGAACGACATTTCGCAAGAGGAGGTCGCGTACGTGTAGCGTGAAAATTGGTCATGTAAAATAGCGCCGTTTGTTCCCGGTCTTTACGCGCGCAAAGAAGTTTCTCCGCGGCATAACATTATATATATAAGCTTGCGCACACACTCGAATCGTCGCGCGTCATAGAACATCAGGTGGTGTGAACGCGATAATACAAACGGCGTTATAATATCGCGTCAGAAGCGCCTGCTGACAGCTTCGTTACGTCGATAAACACGTTGGCGAGAGAGGAAGGAAGAAAATTGTTTATTGCGCTCGCGGCTCCGATACGTGCGCGCGCGCGCAAATGGTCTCTTCGTCGCGAGATTATAAAAGAGTCGCGCGCAACACAAATGCGTTAATCTGCCGATATTGCGATATCGCTCCGAGGTCCATCGAGGGAATACAACGTTAATTCCCCGGTTTTAGCGTCCCGGATTTCCGGTGCTTACAGCTTTCGGGGGGGTATTAGCTTTTAATATCGCAAGTAGGAGCTACAAGTTAACTTCGCAACTCGGGCAAACTTGGTCGGAATCGGCTGCAACTGCGCGCGCGCGCGCGCGAACGAAGTCGCGCTAGAACGAAGTCGATAAACACTTCGCCGAACATCGCGCAACAAAATTGCGGCGCGCAATCGACTTCGTGCGCGATTCGCCACCTCTCCCGACCGATAGATTTGCCGATTAATTTTATTAGGAGAAGCTCTCGCGCGCGCGCACTCAAAGAGTCCTCGGAGTGCCACTTCGCCGCTCGAATCTCTGACGAGTAATCGGTAATTAAAACGGTAATCGACATATTGCGCGCCACTACTACCGTTTAACAGATACACACACCGAGATTAATTTCAACGACGATATCGATGTGAATTTTTTTTTGTGAGAAATGTTCAGTTGTTGTTGTTGACCTCGCGAGAATAGATTGTTACGCGCCTGCACTTCTGCGAGCAATTCCCTGTGAGACTCTCGAAGCAATTTGCTCGTCGCAGATTGTTTCCGAAGTCCCTTTGACGCGTATTCCGATTAATCTCTAATTTGCCGACGTGTATCTCTCACTATCTAACCGCAGAATTAAACCCCGTCGTATAATATCGTCGTACTGAATTACAGCATGGAAGAGTATCATTTGTGTTGTGCGCGTTGGTGTATTCGTATCGAGTCTCTGAGATACATCCCGAGAGATTTCTCGGACTCCGTCGTCTTCCTTCCCCCGAAGGAACGCCTTGCGTGTCTCAAAATCGATCGATCTTCATTCTCGAAGAAAAGCGAGCGCGCCAAGTGCGGAGAACCGCCAAAAGTTTCTCGCCGTGTTCTCTTACCCGACGAGAGACTACGTGCGGGGAGAAAATGATGGGGAAGAGTGGTGCCGCGGCGTTTCAAGATTGATGCGATAGGCTAAATTAACAGGATGCTCGAATTAATCCATTCTAAATAACCTCCCCACGAGTCATCTATCTTGCCAAAACTGCCGACGTGCTCGTGAAGATTCCCCTCAATTTTCCTGACCGATGGAGGAGATACCCGTGGCCTTGGCCCCGCGGAGAAACTTCGCGATCGTTATCACACGTCAAATATTTAATCAGCTCGCACGGCAGGAATACACGGCATTTTGCCACGCCGCGAGGCAAAAATTTCTTCTTTCGATCAACAAAATTGAGAGAATTGATTTTCTTTAATTCAACTTGTTCGCAGAAAATAAAATATCGTGTACGATTTATTTGTTAAAAAAAAAAAAAAAAAAAAAAGATAGATCACAAACTGTCGCGAAAACAAACGGATTTCCGCGGATTAAATTACTCGAGAATGAAATTTCATCTCTCTCTCTCTTTCTCTCTCGACTTTTATCTCTCGAGTTTAAATTTTCTAAAGGTCGCGTACATTTCGCGCGAGTGTCATCGATTCTGCGTGTTTTCGCGCCACGTATCTACGTTTGTGATATGTAACGCCGCGCTGCATCACTTGAGCGCTGTAATTTGCATGCGTACGGACGGGGGAGATACCAGCGAATCCGTCGCGAAACGCGCGAGTCGTCCCCCGTCGTGCAGTCGCTAACCATGGACTGGAGTTTGCTCAAAATGTTATGCTAATATTCGAACGTCGCAACGGGGGAATTCCCCGCATTTTCCCCCGTTGCGTTAGCGGTGACGACGCGCCGCGATGACGATAATTGTGAAGTTTTGAAAAAAAGAAACGCACACACACTTTTGTTCGCTCGATTGTTTCGCGAAACTCTCGATCGATCACTTCGGAGAAGGAGGACGTCTGGTTGGTCCAAGTAAAATTACCAGCCGGCAAGAACAATGGATCTGATTAATGCGCAACAGCATTAGCAACGCAAGCATGCGACGGTCAGTCAATGCGGTCGCAATTTACACCATCAGACCTTTCTGATTGTATCTAATGACCGACATTCTGCCGGACGCGTAGACGGTCCCGAACGAGGAGGCGATTCAATAAATTGATCCACATGGAAATTGCGCACTTCTGTGTTCGGCGTTTAGTTCCCCCCCCCCTCCCGTGTTGATAGAGCTCCTCCTCGCGAGGGAGAGGGAGCGCGAACGTATCTCGGGTACTGATGGAGAGTCGAATTAGTACAAGACGCAGAATAATAGGTCGCTAAATACACACCGTCGCTGCGCCACGTCTCTCCGGATAAAGCGGCATCGAGACAATTTGTCTTGTCTCATAGCCCTTATCGCGATTCGAGTATCTTGGGGTTGCAACAGGTGTTCCTCACACACACACACACACACGCACACATGTCCCATGATGCAGATAAGAATTTAATTTCTTAGCGGCGACACGCTGGTGGACGCGCGATGTAACTTTTGCGCACGTCGCTTTTTCCAAGATGTTCGTCTCTTTAATCGCAAAAAGAGAATATTATTTGCTGCTACACCTGTGCTCGATTTCGCGCGAAAGAAAATGCGAGTTTGAAATTTCAAAAATTATCACCTCGGAGAAACGCGAAGAAGCGAGTTCTCGTCAGAAAACGAGGCGTGGCGAGAATTTCGAAAACGAATTTGCGTGTAACGCTCGACGACAATCGACAAATATTCGTTTCGGGTGATATGTTGTTTGTTTGCTTTGTTGTGCAGATACTACTTGGCCACTTCGGAACACGATTCGGCGGTTCAGCATTTGTACCGAGTGTCCTCGCTGGATCCGGAGTACAAGTCAGTGTGTTTGACTTGTAACATCGTTAGAGAGTGGGACGGCAGCCGTTGTTTGTATAACAGCGCTAAATTCTCCACTGACAATTCGCATTACGTGCTCACTTGTGCCGGGCCTGGAGTGCCCGATGTAGCTATCTACGATAAGGTATGCGTCTGACATTTCCATGCGCGCTTCTCTCTCGCGTTTGTTTGTTTTTTTTGTTTTTTTTAACACACATACATGTATATTTTATTATTACGAGAGATGCATTTAATTGACGACACGTCGATGAGAGAATGTGATAATTTCTTTTTCTTTTTTTTTCCGACAACACGATGTAAATATTTTCTATCAGGAATAATTCAAATAATTCGCGGAGAGAATTTCCCAAGCTCGGAAATTTAATAATAATAAGATAAAGAAAGCGATTTATCAGCTTGAATCCCGAGCTCCACAGAAGAAGAACGCAACCGTGCATTCCGTGCATTTTCTCCCCCCTCGCCGCAGCTTTTAGTATGAATGTATTGACGCGCTGAGAGCGGAAGGAGGAGGGAGGAGCGACGTTTGATACGCGTTTCATCAATCATTACGTTGTACGCTCTCGGCTCGAATTTCCACAAATTTGATCCCAGCGGAAAAAGAGAGAGTAAGAGAGAGAGAGAGAGAGAGAGATCCTGTGAAATTTCTTTCGCTCTTCGTTTTGAGCGCTGGGCGCAAATCGTTACATTACATCCGGTCGGCGAATAATGATGTTCCGTATCGCGGCCACGCGCGCATTTGCATATGATGTAGACGTACGTATGACGGCCGCGTAATTCTGCTAGTGAAAGGTACACGAGCTGTGCGCTGGGGATCGCTATCGAACGGTCAAATCGAATAAATTTTGTTACAGCAATAGAATACGCGAGTACTACTACGGTACGGTTTAGTGCATTGTGCAACTGCGAGTAATATACGAGCGCGTACTTGCACGTACGTACACACACACACACACACACACATACACACCGTTCCCGTTCTGTTTATCCCTTCCTCTTTAGCCGTGGCACGTACACAGAGCTCTCGTGGTCGAAATTCCCGCGCGCGCAAAACACATTGCACCCGCGATACCATTCGCTTGGCCTAATCAGATCGAAATCACGCCGAGACAGATTATCGCGACATTGTTCGGTGGCTTCGTAAAACGCGCGACGCTACACGTAGTAACACACAGTGCTAAACCCGGCGTAAATAACGACGCATTAAACTACCGAGTGTGCCATAGCGATGTAAATACTGCCCCGCGTGTGTGTATTTTGCTAGTGAACTCGTTCCCCGCGAGAGAACGCGGAGAAATTATGCAAACATTTCAGTAAAATAAGAAAAAACTTTTTTAAATTTTTTATTTCAAATAAAAAAAAATTTTTTTTTTTTTTTCATTTTTCATTTTTATCAATTATCAAAATTATTTTGAAAACTTAGACTGATGAGAACGTTTTTAAAAGCCTGTCATCGATATTTTTTTTTGTTTTTTTTTTTTTATCTCGAAGTGAAGCGATAGTGTTGTGTAAAGCTGTGCAAATGCGTAGCGCGCGGTCGCTATCTGACTGCGCTGCGTATCTGCAACCGCTTCCGACTCGGTCACGTTTTGTATCAACTTCCAATTTTATTGTGTAAATAAAACACGTTGAGAGAAATGGTGCAATCAACAACGCGCTGGTTGCAATCGACGATTCAGAAAAGCGTTTGCGTAAAATTTAATAACTTACCGAGTTGGACAATATGGGAGGGTGAAATAAAATTCGCTGCGCGCGTTATCTTTCACGAAGCGTGGCGCCAAATAACCTTGACATCGCTTTTGATTCTGTTGTTTGCCGAGTGAAAAAACCCGTCGATCGTTTAAATCTTAAACGCGCGATTTACTTCGAATTGTTTTCTTTTTTTTGTAATAAAAAAAAAAAATAATAAAAAATAAAAAAATTAAAACTTAACCGTTTACATTTGGCGTGAACAAAATCGAGAATTTATTATATGTAAAAATCGTGACGTTTTCCTAGCTTTTATCCGCAGAAAAATATTGAGTTTCATTAAAACTCGGGAAAAAATTTTGTTGTATCCTTTCATATATTTAACACATGCGCGCGCGCGCGCACACACACACGGTCAATAAAAGCTCTTTGACGAGTACAATTGTCCAGATAATAGAGTGAACAATTGTTCTATTCACGTGGCGCATTGTTGTAACAATTCAATTTTCTTGAACCAACCGTACAAAACGCGATGTGTTATCGCGTTCTGTATGGCAATATTATCTACATCATTGAAAACACGATGTTAACGCATTTATCTTTGTGAAGTGAAATATCGATAATATTGCGCGTTTGTTTTTATCCGTGCGCACGCGCTAATATTCCGATGTATTTGAAATTTACGAGTTTTATTTATTGCGAACTAATCGAAAACTAATGAAGTTTTTTTCATTTGAAACGTTTGAAGATCTCCTCGCGACAAGACGCGTCTCGTCGCGCGAGTGTATAAAATGTGCTTCTCGATGCGCATCGGATTTATCTTCTTTGTAATCTGATTGTCGTAGCGATTGTCGCAGCGAAGAGGGCGAAAGAGTGGGAGAGCGCGAAAGGAGGATAAGTGGAAGTCGTCGAACTTGAAGAGAACGACTGACGTAAGATGTCGAGAACGGCGTTCCCGCGTGCTCTATCGCGGGGCAAAAATCTGACTATTCCGGTGTGCCTTTATCGCTTATTTTCGCGCGCAGCCGTTTAATTTCTGATAATTGGTCCTTTCGCCCGGGAAACCGTCGACAATGAACAGTAATCCAATTACCTTTAAGGAACGACCTTGTCGATGAAATTGCGCGCTTTCAAACCACGCGGCGGATCGATTCGCGACGCTTTCGCTGCGACTCGAGCCGATTTAATTAGCGCGGATATAAATTCCTACGTTTCTCTTTTGCTTCATAACGTCGAGTAATTATCGGCAATCCATAACTGCGCGCGAGAGGGTGACGTTTTTGTTTGAAAAGGTTCAGATGGCTCGGCTGCGCGAGAAGCAATCTCTGAAAATCTCGTCGTTTCCCCTTCAAACGCGGTAAATGAGCGCGTTTTGCGACAGGATGGAAAAAAAAAATATATATATTGTGTTTTGAAATTTAAAAACACACGCAAAAAAATAAAACAAAACTATTATCACGTCGGAATGCGTTTTATCCGATCTTCGCTGCACTTTGATGCGATTTATAAAGCGCTCTTGTGTGCGCGTGGCGGATTCAATTACGTCCGCGATGTATCGCGATATCGGAGAAATTGTCGAAATTTGCGAACTGCGGCAAAATGATGTTAATCGAACGTGTTCAACTTGCTGATATTTCCACTTCGTTACTTTTCGTTGTGTTTCGGCGCAAAAAATCTTTCATTTCAGAATCTGAAATAACCATCACGTTCAAATTTGCACACGCGTTGGTAATAGAATCGGATACTTCGCGTCGCTTTTCGCCGGTTTCTCTCTAACATTTGAGATCAAACTTATATACACTTATACACGTTGCAATATGTACGCGCGCGCGCGCGCGCGCGAACTTACGACCATTCGATACGTAGATTTGACACGTCGCGCACATCCGGACACAGAGCAAAAAAAAAAAAAAAATATATATACTTCGCGTCCCAATCGAAAATCGATACCGGCACGTCATATCGCGATCGACATGAGATTCCCACAAAAGCCGGAAACCCGAACCGCAGGATCGCCTGTCATTCAGCGCGGAAACTTCGGGCATCCGCTTGCGAGCGCCCGGTTGAGAAAAAGTTCGCCGCTCGATGCAAAATCGCGCGCGACTCTCACCCCCGCCGAGCTACTAACTCGAGTACTTCGACGCACAAAAGCGCAGATTGCGCGCTACATTTGCCCCGACTTACTTCTCTCGGGGCGGCGCCGCCCGTCGCGTTGAACTTCTCGCAGGTAAACTCTGTCGCAAAAAATCCGCAAACCGGAGAACTTGGACGACGTTCGCTTTTCGACTTTTCTAATGCAATTTTTTTGTCCGTCTGTACTCTCGCGACAACCTTCTTCGCTGAAGAAAAAAACCTCCCCAGATAGTTTGAACAACCACCCGTGAAAAGTGGCTGCCCTTTGAATCGAATCGATTCCGATCGCGCGGAAGGGGAAGTGCGCGTTGCGGGCGAAGTTGCGAAGCACTTTGCGGAAGGCAGAAGACCGCTAAACGTTCTTCTGGTCTTACGACTTTGCCGCGAGTTTGCGGTGTCTCTGAGTGTGTTGACGGTGTTATTCCCCGCTGTCTCTTTCTCTCTCTCTCTCTCTCCCCCGCTCTCCCGCTCTTTTGGTGTAATCTGTTATGGTTATGTCCCGCGTCAGAGTGTTAGGGAGGTGACCGGCGATTGATGGTGTTCGGGACGAAGATCAGAGGAAAATCGAACGCTGGGAAGATGGATTGTGTTGTTCTTACGTGGTGCGCGTTCTGAATATTATAAAATATTTGATTTATATACGTCTGCCTTTTACCTTTCGTTTGAATTAATTTTTGCTTATTTGTTTGATAATACAAATTAAATTTCACGCGAAACGTTCACGTTTCCTTTTGTTTTCTTCTTCCAGAACTTCACGTTGGTCTTCGAGTGGGAGGACAACGGCGAGATAAGCGAGATAATCGCCAAGAGGTCGCAGCCGATCGTTCAGAAGTACAAAATTCCAGTTCCCGGAGGTTTTCACGCCCGCGTCAAGCTTCTGATACCACCGGGTGCTGATCTGAGCGGCGCAACCAAGTATCCCATGTTGGTTTACGTGTAAGTTGTGTTTAGTTCGTCTTTTTGTTCAACGCGCGCGCGCAGAGTTGTCTGTTTTCCTGACAAGAACAAGGTCGCGCGCATAATTCGCGAGCAATTTACACCAACGTGTATTTTTTTCGGTAAATAATCGCGTTCGCAAAGACAAACTTTCCAACTTCCGCGCAACAAAGTTCTTGCGTTTCTCACGTAACAACACGGCGGCATATATCTCGGTTCTTTACGCGTTCAACTTAAAAGCATCCATATTTTTCCGCGCTGCGACAAGAAATGTGACAACGCACTTCGCGGGGATCATCAATCGGTTCCGTCATAATGCAGTCCGCGAGATAAGCGTAATGGAGAGACTGGAGCGGCGACGAACGTGCAGCAGCGGAACGCAATCTGCGGCTCCCGTGACGTGAAAACGGAAGCTCTCGCTCCCTTACGTGGACTGAATTAGGACGGGATGTAAAACCGCGAAGCGATGAGTCATTCCGTATTCAGTCTCACGAACGAAAACTTCAGCAGCTTTCCGCGATAAAAGCGGTACATTATCGACTGGCCCGCGCGCGCTCTCTCTTTCTCTCTCTCTCTCTTTCTCTCACACATTTCCCTTCCTCTTTCTCTTCCCACCTTATTAATGGAAAAAAAAAAAAAAAAAATTACCAGAGCGATGCAGTTGACTCGAAAATTAACTCACGTTCTCGATCTTCCTTCCTTTGATTCGTCGAGTCTTTTTTTTCGCGTTTTAAATATTGTTTCTTTTTTTTGTGTGTGTAATTCTGCGATAGTTTCAAAGTGTAAAAATTGTTCTCGAATTTCGCGCGAAACGAGATTTTCTAGATATTACTTTGGCGATTCTTCGTTACGATCGTTAGTCATTCTCGCACATCGGGTCAGCGGAATGAACTTTTCGCGTTTTTCGCGCTTTTAGAAGGAGAGCATATGTACCCACGCGGTGGGGCAACGCGGTGTCGCGCTGGCAAGCGGGACGCTCGAGACCGATATAACTTTCCGGCATAAATCCTAATAACGCGTAATTTGTAGGGGCGGTCCTGTCTGGCCGGGGCTCGAACTTTTGAAAGTGCAAAGAGCTTACGGATGGTAGTCCCCGCTATATACGGAGTGCGAGTCCGTCCCTAAAGTGCCAAGCTCCACGTAACGCGTTAGGTCAGAAGAGATGATAATAACGCGAAAAAACCTCCTCGTTTCTCTCGGGTCAAATCCAAATTGTTTTTTAATCTGGACACTGACAAAAGAATATTATACGCGAATTTTTTTGTTTTTTGATGATTTTTATCAGCAAACGCGAAATTGCAGATTGTATTTTTCGCAAAAATTTCAAAATGGCGAAGCAAAGAGCCGCCACACAACTCCAAGTTAAACTCGTAGAAGAGCCATAGCCGGCGGACACGTTTCGTTCGCTTGACGTCGGTGTATAAAGAGAAGTTTGAGTTTCCGCCGTTCCGCGGCTTTATCGTCGAGTAATTGTACTGTCCTCCACGTGTTTGAAACGGTATATTGGATCGCGCGCGTAGTTTTCACGTATCACGCGGTTATTCGTTGCAGTTTCCCGCTTGTTCGGTTTTCCGGTTTTCCCGTGGAAATTTCGCACGCGAAATGTACTGTACTGTGAAGTACTCGCGCGATACAAGCCGTTCTCTAGCCGAAATCCGTTGCCATCGAGCTGCGCTGACGTTGCCCGCAAACTCGAAATGTTCTGACTTTACGCTCTCTTAAGTGAATATCTCTGTAAGCGTTTTCGGATCAACAAGTGCTTCAGAGTATTAATTATTTTCTCCAACTATTTGAAAATTCGTTGTTGTTAAAAAAAAAAACGGTAAAATCACGTGACGTCATACATCTGCGAAGAGAAAAAATGACGTGTATTTTGCTGTTAAAAAAAAATTTAAGAGAGCGTTTCTTTCCGCGCAATCTTCATTTGTTTTCGTTGCGGAGAGAAATTTTTAAACAGAAAGAAAAAAAAAAGAACGAATATTTTTCGCGTTTACATTCGCGCGCGCGAATTTCGGAATCATTACCGTCCGTCTCTATTTCCGCGCCGGAGTCGGCAACTCTATCTCGAAAGTTCCGTATCAGAAAAGCCATCTTCGCTCTCCCGAACTTCCATTTCCTAATTCTCAACCGCTGTTTGATTCCTCTTTCTTTTGTGCATTTCTCCCTTCTCTTCGAACGTTTCCCGACGGAATCTTTCAAGACGGCATCAAGATTCCGCGCAAACGACCTTCGTCGAAGGCGGCTGGTACGTACCGAATGCCGAGAATAAATGCCGAGGATTGCGCGCTAAACAATCGCAAACGTACACGGGCGATTAAATCAGAGGATAATTTCAAAAAAAAAAAAAAAAAAAANAAAAAAAAAAAAAAAAAAAAGAAAAAAACAAATATCGGGAGCGAATATTTTATTTCGTTTTGTGAAAAAAAAATGTCGCGTCTCGTTCTTTGTCGGTATTTGTTTTTTTTTCTTTCAACACTGTTTAATATAATGTACAATTTGTAAAAACCTTGAAGGAGTCACGGGGATAAAAATAACAGAGCAACAATTAATAATGCGACACTACGGCGAGCACCTGAGTGTCACGCGCACACACACACACATACACAGACACTCTGCGTATGTCTTTCAGCTACGGCGGACCGGACTCGTATCAGGTAACGGAGAAATTTGACATCGACTGGGGCACATATCTGGTGACAAACAAAAGCATCATACACGCGGCCATCGACGGCCGCGGCTCCGGATTAATGGGTAACGACATGCTGTTCGCCGGATACCGACATCTTGGCACTGTTGAAATTATCGACCAGATTAACGTTACCAGGTGAGTTCACCGCACGAAAGAGAGAGTATATAGTTTTTAATATAGTTTCATATTAAAAACATTCGAAATTTATACAATAAAAATAACAAAAATTGTTGTATTAACCGCTCTCGGTTGATATAAATTTTCAATTACAACGCGCCAAATTTATTTCTATTATCCGACGTTTCAAATTTAGCAAAAAAAATTTACACCTGCACCGAAAAAATTGTATTCTTGTTTTGAGGATATCCCACTTACTTTAAGTATATTTTATACTAAAATAAGCGCCAAGAAGAGTTTCTTATTTTAAGAGGAAAATCCTCTAAATAGTAATATTGATAAGAATATATACTGATTAGAATAAAAAAAGCCTCTATAGAAAAACATATATATCTCACTATCGAAAAAGACTATATTCTTAAATAAAGAATATATTCTTAAATAAAGAATATATTCTTAATTTCAGAAGAATATCATCTAAAATCTTTAAGAAGATTTTTTAAGTATAAAATCTTCTACTTACAAGAATATAATTTTTTCGGTGTGTGAAATTTGCTTTGTTCAACCGCTCTTTGTTTAAACTCCTCGCACGTGTCTCGTCAATTTTCCCGCAAACAAGGATTTGCTTTTTAAGGGGCGCGCGCGCATATACACGTTTATACCACGCGAAAGACGCATTACACCGTTAATCCGAGATTGTCTGCGAGATGCGCATTTTAGTCATGGCCGTTGCGGGCGGCAACTCTCGACGGCGGGGAGAAGAGAGGGATGAACGGTGTGGAAAAGGGAGTGTGTGTGCTGAATCTGATGCTCTGAAGCGCGCTCGCTCGGCGACGTTGCCTAAAAGCGATGGCGAACAAAGTTCCGCGTTAGGCCAAACCTAATTATAGGCCAGACCCGGCCACTCTAGTGACTTATCGCCGGGCAATCGGAAGGGGGAAGGGGGGGAGGGTAATCTCCACTAAAATTCGAGCTCTCCCTCCCCCCCTCAAGTTAACTAATCTAACTCTCTGGTTTTTCCTTTCCGCGCGCGGACGAAGCGGACCTTAATGAAGTTCTTTTCACGGCGCGGACACCTGAGAACCTCGTCTCCCGTTAACAAGAAGAAAATTGCTCGTACTTTTATCTAAATTTATTGGCTGCGGCGAGGTGCGCGAGAAGAGAACCCGAGCTCGGGTGAAGCTCGGTATTTCTGCCGCGAGTAATTTATCTCGATGGAGGTGGAAACGGGAGCGAGCGAGTTCACCACTTACACGCTCGTCCATCTTTAAACCGAAACATCAAACTTCCGGGCGTGATGAATAATGCCTATTCCGCGCGACCGAGGGGGAGGAGAGAGTCCATATTTTAACGTTCAAGCGACATCGCTCGCGACCGCGAACCCGCAAACTTCAACGTCACGCGTAGGCTTGGCAATTCCGCAATCTCGGTCCGGAATCGCGGAATGCACGGAAGGAATTTTAGTTAATAACAACGTAGAAATTAGGGAGAAAATCCGGAACGCGGATTGGCGCTGCTCGAGATGTAAAATAAATTTTACGTTACATTTATATCATGAATAAAATTTATACGGTAATGATTTTTGGCTCGAAAACAATTTTTGTTCTCAACCAAATTCTGCAAAAAACCAAAAAAATAAATCAAAAGGGTCGAAAATTCGAATCGCGTAAACAAAACACACCCTATCGCATCTCGTATTGTGCGCACGGACATTCTCAGACGTAAAATAGCGTAGTATTCTATCCACGTGTATTTTCTCGCCGGTATCTGCGTCACGATTATTTTGCCGGTTGCATCGCACGGCGTCCGGCCGGTAAAAAGTGAGTCGCGGAGTTGGCGCCGGTCCAAACGATTGCGGAATCCGCGTCCGGGATTCTCCTCTTCTCATCTCTCCGTCTCTCTCCCTGTACGCCACTCGCCACCCTTCCCCGAGTGACGCGGCGACCCTTCGCGAGATCCCCCCCCCCCCCGTTTTGTCTTCTTTTTGTCGGCCTTTGTCCCCGTCATCGAACCGACTAACCGAATCGACTCGTTAAACTCGTCGCTGCTCCCCCGTTACGCAACTGCTTAATTGGTGAATAACGAGTGGTGTAACCGCGATTGAACACCGCAATTCTTGGAAACGGTGACCTTCATAAACGCTAATAGCTCTCTCTTTCAAAGGGAGTTTTTAACCATTTGCTCGAACGGGGAAAAACCCGTCTGTGCGAACGTTTTTTTTTTTTTCAAGTGCGAGTTGAAAAATAATTGGCACGTGTACAGAAACAGGCTGTATTTCGAAAAATAATTAATCTAATTTTTTTTTTTAATTTTTAAAATAAAATGTACGTATTTAAAAGTTGCACAAGTGTCTTCCGGTCGCTGTAATTTTTCTTCGAAACGAGCGTATTAGCAATCCACTAATTACGACTTGAAAATTCACCTCGTTCGCCTCTTCGTTCTTTTTTTTTTTTTTTTTTTTTTTTGCCGCGTAGCGATTTAATCCCGTCGAAATCTCATAACGATTCGAGTTCAGAAAATGCGAGACGCGCGTTCTTGCCGCTTTAATTCAAAGCGCCGGGAAAATCCTACCTTAAATTCGCATGGCGATCGAATAGGCGGCTTTACTCCCGTTGAACGTAAAGCAACGAGCGCTAGCAACGAAACAAAGGACTGGTCGTTCCAGGACGTCGTGTCGCAGAAACCGAAAAACGTATTCGAGGATAAACGTAACGGCCGAGCCGCAAAACGAAAGAGAGGAGAGTCGCGCGCGCGCGCGCGCTCGCTCTCTTCTGGTCCGAGTTTCTTCTCTCTCTTTCTCTTCGTGCAACTCTTTATTTTTTTTTTCCTCTCACAGAGGAAGAAATAGAATTCAACGTACCGCCGGTCGATTTACGAGGTAAATAAATTTCACCCGGAACGAACGCGGGACAGAGAAAGGGAGGAGGGAGGAGATGCGAGGAGGAAGAAGAAGCAAAATCTGCCGCGCGTCGTCGAAGAGGAGTCGTTACTATTTTCCACGGGTGGTCGGGCCGGCGGCGGGTCCGGGCGTGGGTGCTGATCCCGTCGGGGCCATTATTATCGAACACACGAGATGCCAGAGACAATAGCTCGAAAAGATTGGAAGAAGGAAATACGAATTCTCTCTCTTTTTTTTTTTTATTTTAGTTTATTTATTTATTTTTTTTTATCCTCTCCCTTTCCCCTCGGGATACAACGCGACGTGCAGCCGTCCGGGTTTCCGGAAATCATGAGGCAAGACGCGCAGCACTCGATCTCCGACTACCAAGCGTCTAAAAGACACACAGGGTGTCCCAGAGGTATCACCGCCTGCGGATTTTCCCTCCGACTAAATTGCAGTCCATCTCTCTCTTCTTCGTAGACATTGCAATTGAAATCCCAGTTTGCCCAAGCTGGGTTTTTCTTCTTTTCTTCTTTATTCGTCGCATTGAATATGTCGAAGGATCCTGATATTTGCAAATCAAATTTTCCCGAAAATTCTTAACGCAATTGCGCGAGAGACGCATTTCAACGAAAAGAGAAATTGCGCGGCAATTGCGCTAGTTAGAAAACCCATTGGTCGCGCTTATAATCGCGCGCTGTAGATAACGGAGAGTTAAAAAAAAAAGCAGACAGAAATTACGAAGCAGTCTCGTCGATTCTTATCGCTAAACGCTCTCTCGACTGTTCTGTATGCGCGTTTTAGCGACGAGAGGGTTAATTGAAGGGGTGGGCTGTCTTTTTACAAGCGCGCTGCGACATTTCTCTCTCTCTCTCTCTCTCTCTCTCTTTCTCTTGCTCGAAAGTAAGACAATCTTCATGGAAGCTTTTTTTTTTACACACGATCGTTCTCTCCAAATGCGAATAAGACGCACAAAAAAGAATCCATTAGAGAAATTCTATTAATATATTAAAACTAAAGAAAAATTCTCGTTGAGTGTTTGCGAGCACGTACAAGTTGCGGGCACCACATAACGACAATCTCTTCCCCGCTTTCCTTCCAGACATCTGCAGGACAAATTGCCCTTCATCGACCGTGCGAGAACAGCAATATGGGGCTGGAGTTACGGTGGGTACGCGACCGGCATGACGCTCGCCATGGATTTACAGGGTATCTTCAAGTGCGGCATGTCTGTCGCGCCCGTTACGGATTGGGCGCTTTACGGTACGTTACATCGTAAATTGATAGGTGATTAATCGAACTAATTGCGCGACGCGCGACGGTGATTTATTTCGGAAAACGCGCCTAAAGTTATTTCTCGAAAGTAGGAACGATTTATTACAACGCCGCGGTGTGTGAAAAGGTGTGATGTGCATATATTTTTATTAACATCACGCGCTAAACTCAAAAGTTTCGCGCGTCAGCGCGCGTTTGTATTATTTCACACAGTTTTTTTTTTTCCATAAGTCGCGCCGAGAAAGTTTATTTCCGAGTGTACTCGAAAAAAAAAAAAAAATATATATATATATATATATATATATGCGTGTGTCAAGCAATTTACTTACCTACCTACTTTTGACCCGAGAATTCGTTCAAGAATTTTTCACATGTCCGTCGTTTAATGAAGAAAAATACGCGGCGTGGAAAAGACGACGCGCTTGCAGCTTTAATGTTACTTTTTCAACTACTTTAAATTCGTGTCAGCATTACCCGTTCTCATTAGAATACACGCGAGAAGAATACGCGTGATTTACAGGATGATGTTAAAACGACTTATGCGCGGCGTCACAGTTGTGCACAATTTCCGCATAAAACATCTTCGCGCGTCCGTATATAACGCGGCGCTGTTGCGAAAACCATTTTTCTTTTTCCGGAAATATTTGCGCGGTGGTTATTTATTCACTTATTTGTTCTTCTTTTTTTATTGATATATATATGTATATAGTTACGTTCATTTTACAGATTCGATTTATACCGAGCGATTTATGGGTCTGCCAACGCATTCCGATAATCTGCAAGGCTATGAGAAAGGTCAGTTGCTCAACAAAGTGGAAAACCTCAAGAACAAGATGTATTATTTGATTCACGGAACTCTGGACGACAACGTGCACTATCAGCAGTCGCTTATGCTCGCGAAAGTCTTGGAACAAAAGGACATTCTCTTCAGACAACAGGCACGTTGGTATTTGATTCTCGCGAAATTTTTATGAAAAATATTTCTAATTTGGTTTTCGCGCGGTTGAGTCGTCACAGAAATTCGTCGTGTAAAAAACGTGAGACTTTTGCATTTCAGACTTACACGGACGAGGACCACGGGATCGCGCAGTCGCGAGCGCATCTCTACCACTCGCTTGAGAACTTTCTGGACGAGTGTTTTCAAATATCGCAGTCATGATCGCAGCGCAGAATAGTGATGACAATCTAGACGTTATATACCAGCTGCCTCACACTTATCTTGTAAATAATCTATCACGTGTACATATATATAGTTAATGTACGATATGTAATATGAGCGTTTTAGCGAGAGAGAAAAAGTGTACATAACCGGAAGATTGTTAGGATGGGAGAGTGAGAGGGGTGAAGTCATGAAAGTGTGAAACGAGGTAGAATCTAAATTTTAGATAAACATCGTTAGTTGTCAAACTGCGCAGGGCAGGTCCGTGAGAAATATACGACTTTGATACGTTTTTTAAAGTACCGAAATCACAAACAAGGTGTATATCGAAGGCCTAATAACGGCGCGGGTATTCAGTTGCTCTCGCTGTTCAGATCCCCAATAGTACTAAAGCGTTTTATTGCGTATCGTTCAGGGCTCGTACTTATATGTTCGCACTTTATGCCAAGATATATTTGAATTGCATCAGCACGCAAAAACTATTATTTTTCTCTGGATGAAGATCGTCAATTTGAAGCTACAATTGAATGATAAAATTATACGTATTTTTTATTCGATTCTCTTATCACGCGCTATACTAGGGACATTGGTAAATTTGGTTGGTGCATTAGATATGTTCACATATATGAGTTCAGTTACTATCTTGAAATATGTATGTAGTGTGTGCGCGCGTATGAAGCTTGGCAATTCTCTTTTTGAACGCAATCACGTTCGTGAAATCAAATTTCATAGTAGAAATACATAAAAACAAAAGCACTTTCTATAAAAAGTTGCTTTCAACTTTTCCAGAAATAATTGTCATTGATTTTTTCAAACAATTATTTTATAAAATTGAAAGAACAAAATATGCTATTGTGTGTACCGAGTACGCACTCTCCGACAATAATATTATCGAGGCGATATTTTGAAATATAATTGCAGTCCACTCAACATGTGAAATAAACTTATTCCTGTTTGAAACGCATTTGTTTCAAATACTTAGAATCCACCAATTGATCGTTTTGTACAATAATGCAACAATGAGTTGTCTGAACTCATATATGTTATCTTAAGGCTCTGGAATACTCAGCAAAAAATATATAGAATTGTTATATGTAAAGAAAAGTAAATTAAAATATTGATTATTGTTAATATTAGTAATTAATATATACTTGTACTGTTGTGCTAATCGATAGACTTTTACGAAATAAGAATATTGTACAAGCACAACCACGCCAATTAACCTTCACATTTTCTCGCCGACAATGATATAATCATTTAATATACGAAACGTCGAAATTAGCGTACCATAAAAATGTTGAGACGAACCAATTAATTGTTGACATATATTTAAAAACTGTCCTTGAAGCGTTATATATTTTCACAGCACCATTTAACGATCGATTGTTGAGGAGATATATTTGTAATTTCGAGGAAAGTATAACGGCAACATAAAAAGTGCGTTTAAAGACAATGAAAAATTGATTTCAACTTTCAAAATCGACGAAACAGTAAAAGCAATGTTTTGTAACGATTTATAGTTAGATATATTATTTTTTCTACCCCAAAAAATCGTACGTTTTGAGAAAAACATTTGACTACAAAAATTAATATATTGTACGTGTACAAAAAAATATTCCCATAAAAAATAATGTAAGAAAAAATATATATATAGATTATATATATATATACACATACATATATACATACATAGAGTGATTTTGAAATAAGTCAACATGGGGTTAGGTTAGGTTAGGTTAGGTGACACATTGTTTTATTATACTTCTAAGTGACACCCGGGAAGTAGACAGTTTACAAGCCAGCAAGTTGTCTACCTTTCACGCACTTTTTTTGAAAAAAAAGATACTTATTCCAAAATCACACTCTATCATAAAACATGTTTTTTATAAACCATGTACTGTGAAAAAAAATTTGCATATGATATTTGGAAGTATAAACATTGCATTTAAAAAAGAGAAGAGATATTGTATATAACAGCATTGTTATAAACAAGATTGATTCCATAATTACTTTATTATATAAAATATACAAGGTGCTTAAAAAAACTGTTAACACTTACATGGAAGTTATTTTTTTAAACAAAAAAAATTCTAAACTAACATTAAATTGGTCATTTTTTTAGAATAACAATACTGATAACGTAAGATATCGTTAAAAGACAATAATAGTAAAAATGGAGACTCTCAAAGATAAAATACATTAACAAGTGTAATACACTAACAAGTGTATTTTATCTTTGAGAGTCTCTATTTTTACTATCATTGTCGATCCATTTTTAGAATCTTTTCCAGATCCCCAGAGAAAGGCTTTGTATATTTCATACATGTACAAATTCTTCATATACGTTACCATTTTTTTTTTTTAAGCACTGTGTATAAGAACGAAAATTTTTATAAATATTGAAAATTGCGTTCTCTTTACTAATAAATATATATCTATTATATTTCTCTCTCTCTCTCTCCTTATTTTATCACTTATGCTGTAAGTATACCAGAGTGTTAAGAAAGTGCAATTATAAATCCTTTTTATATTTTTATTTCTGCTGTTTATTTAAAAAAAAAATATGTATGAAGAGTTAACTGGTTTGTTACCACTTTTTCCTTTATCATGACATATAGCATATCTACTTCTTATTGTTGTTAGACTATGGGCAGATATTAGTGCCAATGTGTAAATGCACACATAGAATTAAGAATCTATCAACAAACTTTCTGAACTATTGAAGTTTTTTAATGCAAGGACCACTGTAACAATTTCGAGAGTGGATCAAGATGTGAATTTATTAAAACTAATTGTTAACTTTTATCCCGAAATACATTGTACATAGAACATTACTTAATTAATACTTAACTAAGGTAACAGCAAAGCATTGTTAGTAAAACGATAATGTAATTGATGACCTGGTAGAGGTAAAATTAAAGATATAAAATTACAACAGAGATATATGTACTCTCTTTCACTACTATTTGTTGAGTGTATAGTAAATAAAACTCTATGTTTTATTAAGGCAGTGTTTTACCTGGAAACATCCTATTACAAGATTTCTTGATTGTGTGTAACTATTTGACCAGAAAATTCAAAATGTATAAATGTTACAATATAAACATGTAAAATAATCGAATATAATACAAAATCTTATTTGCTGTATATTTGACAAAAAACAATATATATACAACATAGCATTAAGAATTTTCGGTTTCTTTAAATCTGCAAATAAAATGGTTTGCTTATTATTGATATGCACCATCAGCAACACAAGAAATTATCAAAGAAAGAACACTTTTATATATATATATATATAAAAGTAAATTATATTTTAATAAGTAAATTTAATTTTGTTATACTTATATATATAAAAGTATAACAAAATTAAATAAAACTCATGTACATACTTGCATTTAGTACAGGTGTAAAATACTGTCTGGCCTTCATCAGCAGATCTCAATTGTAGAGTAGCGTAAGACATTTTGTCATTTTGGCACTGAGGGCATTTTCGATCCACAACCGGTCCATCTGTCTCCTCATCACTATCGTCAGCCTCTTTCCCGGACATATAAGTATGCTTGGAGTTAAAGTGAATAATGTGTGTCATTTTCATATCACCAAAAACTGAGAAGCAAGACTAATTGTAATCAATCATTACTCAATTATGTATGTACAAAAGTAACAACGCGTACTAATATCATTATGAAATATACTGTCTTAGTTTTTCTTTTTTTTTTTCGAAGACAAATGTTTACACTCAAACCTACCATTAGCACCCCATTCTCTCTTGCATGCGTAACACGTAACTCCTTTTCTTTCACCAAGTAGAGGCAAAATCGAACCGCAATCTGGACAGAATCCAGGTTCAGTAGTGAAAGAACTAGTGTAATTACTCTTTTCCATGCTCTTCAATTAATGCTAACTATCGGAGTGCATTTAATGAAGGTGTAAAATACTTGTGAAACATAACCTATACGTAACACTAATTTTAAGCAGGATTTACAACAGATATAAAGTTGCAAGTCAGACTTGCGATATCTCCAAAAGTGGCCAATCGCATCGAACTATTCTGGAAATCTTTGCATATACACCTATGAGTTATCAGATATATCCATTTTTCCTATATATCTTCCAATATATCGTCAAGAATTCGCACAGTCTTTACTTCGACCCAAAGTTAACATTTGTCAAAACTGTAGGTTTGCCAACTACAGAAAAAGAAAATAACTACTGTGTTCAAGAGTAAAATCAGAAAGAAGACAGACATGAGAACGGCCCAAAAAAGAATGTGTAATTGTTTTTCCGCTCTGTAAGCCAGCGCTATGTCCGTGGGTGGTGCACATTGGCAACTACGTAGCCATGTCCACGATATGTCGGTACGTTATGTTCAAACGTAGACACATTCTATTCTGTGCTATGTCCAAAGATCGAGCAGCCAACCAGCGCTGAGAACACCGAGGTGGTGGGGGTACGCACACAACGTGACTAAAGTAAAGTCACGTGACTAGTCACGTATTGTTTTTTCTCTTCTTCCCGTCACGTGACTTTACTTTAATCAAGTTTGTAACAACACGTGACTTGATTTTCTTGTGGGTCTGGCCGCTTTTAGTCTTCTCTCTAGTAAAATATATACAAATATTTATAATTTGTATATATTGAAATGCAACGCGTCTTTAATTAAAAAAATGACTCTAAAACATTGTCTGTGTGCTATATTTTTTAACCACACCTGGTTCAGTAAACCTTATTACTGTATCTGACAGTCCGCAGTCTGTGTAAAGTGGGACGGGAAAATATGCACACAGTTCTTAGTACAGTAGGGAGCACCATATCGTGCGGCTCCAGGGGAAATTTTTTTCGGGAATTTCTTCTTTGGATTATTGGCTTTACTATCGCCCGTCTCTTCTTTGGTCTCCGCCAACGGTCCGAGATCGAAGAAAAACAGCGCGCAGTAATAGAAACAGCTAAAGAAAAAATTTTCGAGAAATACTTTCCCTAGAGCCGCACGATATGGTGCTCCCTACTGTACTTTACTTAGTACTTTAATGTAATATATTTTTTGATTAATAAAAATACAATTTTGTACATTGCTCATAGCAGTTGTTATTTCTACTACTGTTCTTATACTTAACATTCTTATAAGTATTAAAAAGTATCAGAAGAATATAACTAGCAAGGAGGTGGCACAAAGTTTCGAATAAGCAATTCCTAGAATTGATAATCGATTCCAAGAATGCCCCGCCCATTGCTCTGTCTACTTTTGAAAATTTTCAATTTTAATTTATTTTAAGATAAAGTATCAGGAGAACATAATTAGCAAAGAAGTGGCACAAATTTCAAGTAGGCGGGGCAATTCCTAGAATTAATAATCGATTCCAAGAAAGCCCGTCCATGGCTCCGCCTACTATTTTTGAAAATTTTCAAACAATTTTGACAAAATCTAAGAAGTAGCAGGAGAACATAACTAGCAAAGAAGTGGCACAATTTTTAAGTGGGTGGGACACATACACACACACACACACAATTCTTAGAATTGATAATCGATTCTAAGAAAACTCCGCCTATTGCCCCGCCTACTTGAAACTTTGTGTCACCTCTTCGCTAGTTATGTTCTCCTGATACTTTTTCATGTATTTTTAATACTTGTGTGCACATTTTCCCGTCCCACTTTGCACAGACTGCGGACTGTCAGATACAGTAATAAGGTTTACTGAACCAGGTGTGGTTAAAAAATGTAGCACACACACAAGCAGGTTTAAAGAATAATGAAATTCAAGAAAAAATAGAAGATTGTTAATCAAAGGAACAGGAAAAGACGTTATTAATCAAAAGAAAGGTAGGTGGTATTTAGATTAAGTAAAACACAAGTTATATGTGTTACATTATCATATAATTTATTTCATATAAACATTTGATATACAGTTTTAAAATTTATTTGTAGAACTTATCCTCTTAGCAATAATGGTATAAATAATAGCTGTATTTCTTATATGAAAAAGATGGATGGAGTGATCCAGATTCAAAATTTGGTGTTTGGCATGTTACTGATAAGTATAAGTATTCGACATGTGTAAAGATAAGAAATACTGTTTGCAAAGAAGAATGAAACAGTTTTCATTATATGTATCACAAGTAGAGATAATCATTTAAATATAGAATTTGCGCGAGGTTTCGTGGTACTCCAACCATCTTCTCTGGTGAACTGGTACCGTAGCTTCGTGATAGTACAAGTCCATGAGAGCAAATAATTTCACTATCGTATCAACTTTCAGTTCTTGGATTTTCGTTCGAGAGAGCATTTGTTTAAGTTTTTTTATTAAAGCACTACTTACTTTATACTTGCATTTATTTACATAAAAGCAAATGAAAGAGAAAGTTTACTTGCATCGATTTGTAATAAGGTTCAATGAAAGAATATATTGATTTAATAGTTTTGAACTGTGCACTACTTAAATCTCTGAAATAGCAATTTCTTTTGAAATAGCAATTTCTTCTGAATAGCAATTTCTTCTGAAATGTTCTATTAAAACAATATTACTTTTATTAAAGCATACTTTCTATCTTCATCTTTTTATAAATAATGATAACTTGTAGTTATAGAAGAAAATATATATTGCGTTCTCTTTACACTTCAGCATTATACTTTTCCATCAACAAAAACACTCAGTACTGAAATATAAAGAACTACTACATGTATCAACTATCTCGAACGAAAAGTTAACAAATTGTTTATTTGTTTGTTTTTTATGTGTAACGTTTTACATATATACCCCCTATTTAAAAGTAATTCCAATTTCAACTTGTACTTATTCCGCTCGCGCAAATTCATTTCATCAAGATTTTCTTCGAATGTAGAAAAAATTATGCTATTTCGAAGTGTAACGTAAAAATTTGTGTTCGCTATTAAATACAACACCTGCGCGGTGTGTAAAATGACGTCGTGCTCATCAATCTCATTTTATTCCCGCTAGAAAAAAAAAATAAAAATAAAATAAGGTACGTGTTTTTTCTCTATATGAATATAGCTGCTTGAAAATCTGTACTGACTATGATCTTAAAAATTATGCTCGTTATTGTATATATAATATATAATGATAGAGCTTACTTCAAATATACAATGAATATACAATTTATGCTTAAATCATCAAAATATCCTTGCAATCGCAACTTAACGCGAGAAACACTTGTCGATAAAATATCTTGCACAAGGATATGCGTGTGTTCTTATAATAATACACATTTTTACACACGTTTAAGAGACGCCGAGAAAAAAATACGGATAACTGCGTATGTGGTAATAATTATAAACACGATTGTCAGACTCTGTTAAATCAACTTCGCGAGAACATTATGACAATTTAAGCATATTGTCGCTAATTCGCTTTTCTTTTTTAATGAATGGACTAGACTTGATTACTTATAATATAATATAATAGTACGCTTCTTATAATGTATATATATATATATATATATATTGTTTAAGAATATTGCAGAGAAACGAGGATACTTTTTGCAAGCTATAACAGGTAAAATTGAAAATCTATGTGGTTATACAAGATTTTGGAAAACGAATTACTACTGCGGCGTGTCCCGCGTATATTTTCTATACGCACAAGTTTTGTCTTCTGCAGAATATCTAAAACCGCTTTACAAATTTTCTGTGTTTCAGAACTTATAAAATCAAACCGCAGCAATAAAAAAAAAAAAAAAAAAAATACATGTTCGATTCGTATATGTCGATACGCACGCACACACGAAGAAGACATCCGGGAAGACTTTAGACAGCGAGATAAATTGTGTCGTGACACGCGAAATAACCTTTACTTCAACTTAAATGTTTCGACATACGTGTACGGAAGAAGTTGTTAAAAAAAAAATTTAGTTCCTCGTGTAATAAATTGTTTATCGCAGGACACGCGCTCGATAGCAATACGTTTCGGCGACACCGTAAGTTGCGTTTTTTTTTCAGCTGCAAAGTCAATCAAAGTAGAGTGAGAATAACGTGAACATAGAAAAATTACGACACACGTTATTTAAGAGTGAAACGCGTTAAAAAAAAATGGAATTCGCTCGAGTCATTCTTTTTGCACAACACGCCTCTCGTACACGTCTTACATGTTACAAGTTAATAAATAATGCGATGAATCGAAGAAATATGGAAGAGAATATCTAAATATACTTCTATATATATATATATATATCGCTCTTTCTTTTTAATTTTTTTACTTTTACCACTTTGATATGCGGCTGCGGATATGTAAAGTTACGCTCTCTTTTAGAAGCGCGCGCATGTGGAAATAACAGCACTTTCAATGATATTATAAAATAGCTTTGTTTCTTTTTTGTGCTCAACACATATCTATAATATCCTCATTTTTTGCAATGAAGTCTCGTTTCTTCGTGATTCGAACGAGAGTCGCTCTCGGAGATTTTATTTTATTTTATTTTATTTTTTTTTGATTTTGCAAGTGTGAATGCACCTAAAAGTATTGGAAGGCCTATTTCTCTCTTTTTTTTCTCTCTTTCTCTCTCTTCCCTCTCGCTTTCTAGCGTCGCTAAACACGAGTTACACGTATACGTATAAATAATGTATATAAATTAATTAAGTACAAAAATTACAAACTTATTAACGAAATATTGGCAAGACTGTGTTTTTTTTTTCGAATTAACAGGCTACAAATATCGCGTTATCTCTTCCACTCTATTTCGCCTTGATCAGATAATCGGATTCTCACCCTCCTATCAAAAAGAGAATAATTTAAAGAGCACAAAGCAAATCTTTCGCACTTTATCTTTGCCCATTAATTGCATTGCAAATTATTATTTGAAATAAATATACAGGAAGCCAAGAGAGAATCGCGCGGAAACAGTTCGTTCAAAAAGTTTCAGTGATGCTGAAGAGTCTCGATTGTTATAAAAAAAACATTATCTGTGTAAAGTGGAGAACAAATAAAAAATGTTTATTATTGTAAAAGGAAGAGAACGTATATATTGTATTTTTGCATCTCTTGTTCAGGCAACAAGATGTTAATAAGTGTGTGTATTTCTTCATTAATCAAAACTGCTTGCTTACATGTAATGACATACACTTCTCGAGTCGTTTTATTTTTTAATCATCAGTTTCTGACGCGTAGTTACGCCGTATCTTGTAAGAAATCGATATCTCGTTATCGAGAACATTTTTCCGAAATCTCTTTCGCTTTCGTGTAAAATCATCACTTTTATGTCTTTTCCAATTTCTCGGACACGTTTTTTTTTTTTTTTTTTTCACATATAGTCATCTTATGCGTCAATAAATATTACATTCGAAGCTTTCTTTACGAAGAGAACATTGTTTAAATTACCTAACACATATCACAGGATCCATATCTCTTTGTTTTTTTTTTTTTTTTTTGAAAAAAAAAGAACTTATATAATAAACGCAAGAAAAAAACACGAGATACAAAAGCTAGAATTGTACGAACACGTCGACATACATTATTAATAGGTACAAACTAAGGTCGTGTATGTGTTACATTTGTCCGACCGAAATGACAAATTTTGTGCTTTCAGATAAAATTGCCGTTTTTTTTGTTTTTTTTTATTCGAAAGAGTTTATTTATTTTTTACTTTAGTGACGGCAATAATCACTGCTTTCCATTGCAGAAGAGAAGGAATCATAAAAGAGATTGCCTTTGGCAAACTTTTTTATTTCATCAATCCATTTTTTTTTCATCAATCATCTTTGTTGCTTTATGTTTGTTACTATATATGTTTTGAAAATAGAAGAATGTAGGATTGTATAGAGGATTTATAGGATTTGTAGGAATGTATAGGATTTATTTGCGTGATTTTTTTATTTATATCCATTCTGCAACGGGGTGGTCTTTTATTGCTACTTTCGTCGCCGCCAGGCGGTGAATAAATAAAATTCGCAACAGGCGTCTCGTGATCGTTGCCTCCCCTCCTCTCATCCACAAGCTCGCGATCAGTGTACATGCAGAATCAAAATCTATGAATCCTGAAGAACATCTATCTAACGTATCGGATAAATTAATGCGATGAAAAAGTTATGTAATAATAGATCGCTTATTACCTCTGTAGTGAGTATGTTACAGTACTATATGAATAAGCTTACTGTGTTTTAATCGATACATTATCTGTATGGTACAGAGACGCTTTTTGGAATCCTCTTCGGCAACGACGTCCTTTCAGAAACGTCTGAAGCAAAATTAAAAACATACATTGACTTTAATGTACGCGTAATGAACGCGTAAAGAAAATTTTATTTTTTATAAAGTGATTTTATAAATTTTATGCGCACAGAGTCTTATTTACAACAACACAATTATATCAATCTCAAACTCACCTTCATCACTGACATGATGCGATGTCGAGGTTACAAAGGGGCTATTGGTTGAGCAAGGTGTTAGTCACCTCAGAGATGGACAGCAGAGGACTCCCGGCGTCCGGTTTGGAATCTGTGGGACAGTTGGGCCCATTCCCGCCGCCGCTGCTGCCGCTGATGATCCCACTACGTGGTGGTGGTGGTGGTGCGGAGGGTGGTACAAGACGTTGTTGCTGTTGCTGGTGCTGTTGTCCGCCCCGATGCCCATGCCCATGCCTGTTCCCACCCCCGTCCCCGTTCCCGCAGCTGACGGTGGCGTGCTGCAACCAAATGGACGATGGTCTTTTCGTTATCTTATGTGTACTAAGGTAGACACAGCAAACCAACAAGAATGCTAAGAAAACCAACACTTTGTTTAAGTTAAATTTAAATAAATAAGAATGATATAATTCAATCTCACATAAGAAATTAAATAGGGTTTTTGCTCATAAATAAACTGATACGCTAGAATGTGCCATCAAAAATTTGTATCTCATTTATTTTGAAGTCACGAGATGAAATGTGGATGATCAAATACATGGTGTCGCACTATTCGTGAAAATTACTATTTGCATAAAAATGATCTGTGAAAATCGTGAAAATTAAATTAAAAAAGATTTGGAGAAAGTATAAGTTTCGAACGTAAGGAAGCAAAAGTCGATGCAATATCAAACTTGTAATTTTGATGTGAAAGTTGAGACCAAAAGCACATTCTTTTTTTAGTAATTTCTTATTAAAAAAAAAAATCATCTTACTATTAAAAAGAAACGCCGCAATGACAAATTATAATAAAATCTGTGAGGCAGCAGTGACACTCACTGGGGCGTGTGCCTTGGTGGTGCGGGGTGGTGATGGTGGTAGGGATAGTACTGGTAGTGATGGTGGTGTTGCACTCCTTGCCATACCTCGGAGCCCGCTTCCCCGTGCCCGCCATGGCCCGGATGAGAGTGCGTGTAGCCGATGGTGTTGGCGGCGGCGGCCGCTGCCGCGGCAGCTGCGGCTGCCTGGTACTGCGACGTGGTCACTGGATATTGTTGATGCTGCTGCGATTGCTGTTGATGATGATGTTGCTGTTGTTGCTGCTGTTGTTGCTGTTGAGACTGTGTTTTATTGTTCCTTGGCGGACTCGGCGCTGTCACCTGCTGATCCGTGGGTGAGGTTTGCCGCCACTTGCAGTCTCCGTTCATCGAGTTCATCTCCGCGAGCGACTTGAGCGGGTCACCGGTCGCGTTAGTCGAGTGCGTGGACGAGTGGGTCGAATGCGGCGTCGGCGGACTGTAGCTGCCGTTATTCCTGGGCGGTGTGCGCGACGGCGGCGCGCCCCACATCAGCACGGTCTGCCGCGGTGCCTCGTTGCCGTATACCTCAGGTTTGACGTCTTCCATCTTCGGCGTAAGCACGCCGTTCGCTGCGCCGGTTACCGGCGAGCTCCCGGCGGAGTTGCTGGATGACGCGCCGCCCTCCAGCGAGTGCCTGCTACCGGCGCGCACGATGTTCATGTCGGTCGTCGTCGGGTGCATTGTGGACGCGCTAGCAACCGGACTGGCAGCGTACGGCGAGCCGCTTACGCTACCCGGATGTCTCGTCTCCACGTAGCTGTATTTAGGTGATTCGCCACTGCCGAGTTGTTGGCAGTAGAGCTTCTCTTCCGTCTTGCTGGTAAGCTGATGAGTCTCGTACGTGGGCAGCGACACGTCGATGAAGCCGTTGTACGCGGTGCCGGTGTGATATTCCGGATAATATGAGCCCAGCGGCCTATATTGAAACAAATTCTCCGTTGCAGCAGTGAGATACCTGCGCAGAACAAATTTACAATATTCACATTGTAAAGTTTGTTGTCAGAATATCGCAATTCAGTACGTTTAAATAAAACAAAGTTCTGTATTTAAAAATCTCGTTGTGATTAATTCATTCTTGTTACCTGTTGTCCAGTGCAGTCGCTGGATAAAGAGTCTGATGATAATTGCCCGTGTGGCCGATGTAAGTTGTCAGAGATGGATCGGTGCTGGCCGCAACCGCAGTAGGCGCGTACGGTGTCGGATACATGGTGTTTAAATTGCTGTAAGCCGCTGCGACCGCGGCTGCCGCGCTGGTATCCGCTGCGAGATAATCCACGGACGCGACCGTGGGTGTCACGGGCGGCGAGACCGACGACTGAGCGGTGAGCTTGGTGCGTTTGCTCCGGCACGTCGACAAGAAATCCCGTAGTTGCGTCTTGTATCGCCTGTTCACTCTTTGAGGCGCTGGCTGCGCCGGTAACGTCGGTGTCATAACCGACCCTGTCAGACTGTCGCTGTCCGCGAAGTAGCTGTTAGTCAAGCCGGCGTCCAGATAACTGACTTTGAAGTCCATCGTACGTTTGCCGAGCAAGTCTCTGCCTTCCTCTTCCCTGAAACGGATTAAAAAAAAAAAAAAAAAAGCATACCTGTTAATTAAAGAACATGTGTGTGTTCGTAATTTACACAAGTGGTTCTCGCAATACCAACGTGAAACTTACATAAGAGGTCGGTGAGTGCTAAGCACGAAATCTGGTTTCGAGTTTTTGTAGACCAGCCTGGAGCTAGTCTGCAGCCACTGCCACCCGCCGTCCTTTGTTTGGAATCTGTACGCTATCATGCCTGACGCACCGGTTTTCAATACTGAAACCAGAAACCAAAATAGAATAATCAATTATATCATCTGTGTGTTTTAATTTAATTTTAATTTATTGCTCCGCGATAAACCTACATTCTTGATGAGCGTTAGCGACGTAAGCCAGGTCGTCGTAATGGACTAGATCGTAGCCGCCGAGATTAGTTAGTTCCGCGTCGGAATAACCCAAGAGCATTTTTCCTCGCTGGTCCATCGTTACGAGCGCGAGATCGAGTTTGTGTTTGCTTTTGAACATTACTTCCTTCTGCGGCACCTCTAGCAACGAGGGAGGGCCGAATGGTGTACACAGAGCAAACAGGGCCAACGGCGGTTCTTCCGTCTTCCGGTTTTGGCCATGAAGTACCTTGACTCTGCCCCTGATGTCGAGGCGCTGCAATAAATCATCCGTAAATCATTTATTATATTTATTATTATAATATTAATTATATATTTATTATATAATATAAATATATATATATATATATATTTATTATAT